GGACCGTCAGTGCACCAACGGCTAGCCGTGGCCCTTTGCCCAAAAGGAACATCTCCCGGGGCACCGGTCCCCAATATAGTTTAAAAGCTTTGCATGCACGTAAGCAATGGGGTTTAAGCTTGTCCCTAACAGAATCCTGGCCGACAGGGCTGGAAAAGCAATTTGGGCTGACTTGCAGAAAACGGGAGAAGACGTAGCAATGGTTTCGTTCTACCGTGGCAAATTCATTTAGGGACCGCAGACGCGCGCAGAGGGCTTGTTCGCCAGTTCCCAGGAACATCACATGTGTCTTTTCATTTAATTATTTCCTTCAAGTGTACCTCCAATTAATCTTTCCACTGCTGGGGGGGGGGAAGGGAGGAGAGAAAAAGGATCTTACCCCATCTGAACCCGGGGCGAAGGAGGGCGAGGTTTGGCTCTGGGTTTTTCCATCGGCAAGTATCGGATATTTAAGTAACCTGTGTCCTTCCTTAGACATCTCTGAAATAGCAGGGGAGAGTTTCAATGGTTTTATGACTCCTTGTTTTCAAAACATGATCATAAAATGCTTATGGAGGTCAGATGAAAAGATGAAAAGTCCAGCATTTTGCCCCAGCGAGAGGGCTTTGGCAAACCCACAAGAAAGATTTACCCGGTTCCTCTCCCCCAAACACAAGCCCAGGAGGATAGACTGCCTCGATTCCTGGAGGCATTCTCCAGCCATCACAATTAGCAGCCACCAAGACCTATTTCAAAACAATTATGACAAATTGCAGGAAGAAATAAAACAAGATTGCAAAAGGCGTGGAAAAGATTAAAGCTTTCTGCGCTGGGATTTATGGTTACAGTAAAAAAAGGAATGAATGGCCCAAGATAAACTTATTTCAAAGGGCACCAGTTCTAATCTCAGATTAAAAAAAATTACAGGATCGTCAAAGAAAAATTAATAGATGTATGTGGAATGGGGGGGGGGGGAAACACCAGAGTAAGATTCAAGATTTTGCAAGATTCGAAACAGAGAGGCAGACTCGCTTTTTCCAATCTCAGATTATATTATAGAGCAGGCTGTCTGTCGCGGATCGCAGAATGGATAACATTTCCTAATAGCAGAATATCAGCCATA